AACTGATAGCAAAAGTTAAACTTTCTCAAATGCAAATCAAATATGTTGGTACCCAAAGTAAGGTCTTGTCTAGAGGAATAAACCTGTGAAATATGTAAGCCCTAGCAATAACCATTAAATAGTTATGGGAAAGGTTTAACTTTTTTCCAAAGGTATGTCAAACATCAAGGTCAAAATTATTGGTGTCCATTGAAAGGCCTTATCTCAAGAAATACACAGGTGAAATATGAAAGTCGAAGCACCAATCGTTCAAAAGTTATAACCAAGGTTAAAGTTTTCCAAAAGTAGGTCAAACTCCAAGGTCAAGGTCAAAGTTGTTGGTATCCAAAGAAAGGTCACAAGGATTACATATGTGAAGTATCAAAGCCCTAACACCAACCGTTCAAAAGTTATGGCCAAGGTTAAAAGTTTTCCAAAAGTAGGTTAAACGTCAAGGTCAAAAGGTCAAAGTTGTTGGTATCCAGAGAAAGGCCTTGTCACAAAGATTAGATTTATGAAGTATGAAAGCCCAAGCACCAACCGTTCAAAAGTTATGGCCAAGGTTAAATTTTTCCACAAGTAGGTTAAACTCCAAGGTCAAGGTCAAAGTTGTTGGTATCCAAAGAAAGGACTTGTCACAAGGATTAAATATGTGAAGTATCAAAGCCCTAGCACCGTTTAAAAGTTAATGCCAAGGTTAACGTTTTCAAAAGTAGGTCAAAGTCCTAGGTCAAGGTTAAAACGTCAAAGTTGTTGGTATTCAAAGGAAGGTCTTCTCACAAGGAATACACATGTGAAGGTCAAATTTGGTGGTACCCAAAGAAAGGTCTTGTCACAAGGAATACACATGTGAAATATGGAAGCCATAGCTCTAACCAATCAAAAGTTATGGGCAAGGTTAAAGTTTTTGCGGACAGACAGCTAGACAGACAGACATACAAACGGACGGACAGGGCAAAAACTATATCCCCCCGAATCTTCGATACGGGGGCATAAAAATTCCTAAAATTTAAATGTTTAGAGAACAATATCATCTGCAACATCTAGATCTTCTGAGGATGATAATTCGTCTTTTTTTCTCCGGCTGTCGTTTATATAGCTCTGCTGAACCTCAGCATTTCTGATCGAAATATGTCCGTGTATCGTCTGTAAACTTTTCACATTTTCGACTTCTCAAGAAGTACTGGGCCAATTTCAACCAAACTTACCACAAAGCATGCTTGGGAGAAGAGAATTTAAGTTTAATTTATTCACAGGAAGTGTTACGCTCTCTTTCAAGGGGAGATAATTAAGAATTCTGAAAGTTTGGTGGCATCTTTAAAAATCTTCTTAAGAAACACTGGGCCAGAAAAGATGAAACTTATGTGAAAGCTTCATTACATATTTCAGATTCAAGTTTGTTCGTATGATGACCCTGGGGGGTAGTGCAGGGCCACAAAAAGAAACCAAAGTTTTACATAGGAATACATACTATCTTAAAAATCTTCACAAGAACAGCTATGCCATTTTAAGTCATATTACTACAGAAGCATCCTCAGGTAGTGTAGATTCAAATTTGTTCAAATCATGACCCCCTGGGGCAGGGTGGGGCCACAAAAGGGGATCAGTTATCAGAAGTTCATTAAAAATCTTAAAAACAGTCAAGCCATTATTAGTCATATTAATACAGAAGCATCCTCAGGTAGTGTAGATTCAAGATTGTTCAAATCATGACTCCGGGGCAGGGCGGACCCACAACAGGGAATAGTTTTACATAGGAATATGCAGGAAATTTTTTTTAAAAATATCTTCTTAAGAACAGCTAAGTCATGATTAGTCATATTAAGAATCAGGTAGTGTAGATTCAAGATTGTTTACATCATGTCCCCTTGAGGTAGGGTAGGGCAGAAATTGGTTTAACATAGTTAAACTTTAACAGTTTAACATAGGAATACAAAGGAGAAGTCTTTAAAAATCTTTTATCCCAGGAACAGCTAGGGACGTCACAAGATATCGGTGAAGGGCTTCAAATTTAGACATTTACTCGGCACTCAGGCCATTGAGCAGTGGGGGTTCTTTATCGTGCCAACGCCTGTCGTGACACGAGTCCTCGGTTTTAAGGTCTCATCCGAAGGACCCGCAACTTTCACTCCAAGATGCCGAGCGCTTGGCGAATGAACAGTTGTTACCTATTGTTTATCGACTTTTAAATTAGGTTAGTCAGGACTGAGCTACCGTGACGGTATATAAAAGGAACAGAAGGACCATAATTACTCAGGTAAGCGTTGTGGCTCATGGACCTCTTGTTTCAGCAACTATACCATCACAAGGAAAAGGTCTACCTGGATCCATTCTTATATTTCACTTTCATCGAAGACTGCACACTCAAATCCTTCATATATTCCTCGTGTTATATTGTAATTTTTGAATTTACAGGGTGGTAGTAAAATACAAAAATTAAAATATGACAATGTAATTTTTGTATTTACTACCACCCGGTAAATTCAAAAATTACAATATGACACTCGCAATGCCATATACGCTTTTGTAGATAAATTATCATAGAAGAGAATTGTAGTAAACTCTTTTCACTACATTTTTCTGAAAGCGAAAAAGACTGCAATTCTCGGGAGTGTCGTGTACTTCATATAATTTGGAATCATACACCAAGTATTATTACCAAGATGCACAATTCTGTTTACCGGTTTTTGATTTGACGAACGTTGCCATTTTTACGAAAAATAGAAATGTTTCGTAAAGTTTTGATCCGATTTTTCAATAAAACGTAGTACACAAGTAATTAGACAAGGACACATACATTTAATTCTAAGTATTAGAATTTGATATGACAAAATTATTAACTTTAAAAGTACAGACTGCAATTAAGCTTAACTGACATTTTCATAGTTGAACAGTTGCGCAAGATGTGCCTGATGTCAGTACACATAATTTGAAATTATTTTAAAAAGACTCATTAAATCTTGGGTGTTTTGTCAAGAGCTACTGCTGCTCTATTCTGGGAGACTCGGAAAAAGGGGCAAAAAAATTAGGTCTTTCTATCATATCTTATTCTTTATCAAGAATGAGACGCCCGCGTGGCGCAGTGGTTAGAGCGTCTGCTCTAGAGTCGCGGCGTAAGGAGTTGATCCTTACTTAGCGGGTTTGAATCCCACTGTGGGAAGTGGAGACCGGTTCTTCGGATGAGACCGTATAAACCGAGGTCCCGTGTCGCAGTAGGTGCCGGCACGAAAAAGATCCCCCACTGCTCAATGGCCGTAAGTGCCGAGTATAGGACAAAATTTGCAGCTCTCCACCGGCAAGTGGTGGCGTCTCCATATGAGTGAAAAATTCTCGAGAGGGACATTAAACAACATACAAACAAACAAATTATCAAGAATGCTGCAATCAGGGGTTTTTGATGAGCGGACGTTAAATGTTCGATCATATCCCTTGTGGTAGTAGGAAAGGGCTAACAGAGAGCGAACCTCTTCAGTCGGAGAAAATATGCAAATCAAAATAAACTTCACATAAATTGACATTAATCGATGCCATTTACGTCAACCCAGTCCCATCAATGCTGAGTTTCAGGAGGGTAGCTTTGAATCCGTCCACTGCCGTCTGTTCTGCTGAGCCTTTGTGAAGGAACAGACAGTTAACCCATGTAGTCGCTATGTGTTAAATTCTGTAATTCTATACAAATATCTCTAATGATTAATTCTTGTGAATTCAAGCGAAAATGTATTTGTAAACTTTATTCCCTTTAATGGAGAAAACAACACTAGTTTATTTATTTCACTTTATGCAAAGCGGTTAACCTGCATAATTAAAACATCTATGCTAGCTTTCCATACAGAGCGGCAAGGCTAGCATATCGTTCAAAATCTTAGCTCTACACAGTGCTACGTAGTCGCTACGATCTTGAACACACCCACCTGTATAAAAGTATAGTAGAAAAGTTGAAATATGAAGAGAAAAATACAGTAGTAAGGAAAAGATCTGAAAGTCACACGACGTGTATATTGCAATAAAGATTTCCAGCCAGAAAATAGTTCTGCTGCTTTTCATTAGACTCGTTTAAAGCCATCTACTTTCTTGCAACAGCTCAACCCTTACAGTCTGCTATCATTGAGACTTCCTGTTGAGTTGTTTGCATAGCGATGTCCGCTCAACTTGCAGCAATTTCATTTCTAATGCAAAGTGAATTATAATTCATATAACAGGTATATACAGAATATATCAACATGTCATTATACCACTTCTGTATATCAAGTTTGTAGAACAATGTCATTTAAGGTGTTTCGCTTCTGACGAATTTGAATACACCGCGCAACTCGAACTGCCGGAAATTGGTCTGAATGTCGTTTTAATAAAGAATTCAGTATGACAGAAAAATAATAGTTTATTTTAAGTAATTATAATAATTATCCGTAGAAAGTAACATAATATTGATTTTTGTGCCAGAAGAAAACATATAATAACTATTTTATATTTCGCGGAAAATTAAGACATGTGAGACGGATTACGATAATGTAAGTAAAAAGCAGACGTGAAGTAACGTTCGGCGCGTAAACTTTGGTTAAGATGGTGAAACCAAAGTACAGACGCCATTAGGGGTGAAACGATACACCTCCTTCACGGTTCGATACGTATTGTATAATTTTGTCTCGGTTCGGTTATTTTCGATACGATACATTTTGATAGAAGGAAACAAATTCAACGTTGTTTTATGCTTTCTTTTTCTAAATCTAGTCACATATTTTACGAATTTTATTTGCAAATTGACTACAAAAAATTGATTAAAATTATTTGACTGTCAAAAATTATTTTACAAGCTATCAGTTATCAAAAATTTACGTTTTCTATACTTATTTATACTGAGTAACGTGTTACACCTTATCTCAAACCCGACTGAATAACGATCCCGACCGAAAACTGAACCGAACCGAAAATTAGAGATTTTGCACCGTGTATCAAACCGAGAAAAAATACCGCGGTGCATCGATACCGCGGTGAACCGTTTCACTCCTAGACGCCATGGGTTCGTTTCGAAAACGAAGAAGGAGAGATATGAAAAAGTATCTGCAGGGCAATTGACCCGATGGATTAGGGGAGCTATTCTTAGAGACCACAATTACTCCGCCAGTGCAACTCCTGTTAACATTGATCATGATCAAGGTTTGTATACATACGTGTATCATATCTAAAAAGAAAAACCAGTTTGCACATCTGCATCTATGTTAGATCTATCTTAGAAATATTAAAGGAAGGCACATGATGTCCATTACAGTGCGCCGTTCTAGTCCTTATAACATTTTAAGTCATAGGCCTATATGTTAATTTTTTTTATAGTTTAACCTACATGTAATAAATATATATAAGATATATATTTTTTTAATTTACTTTTGCTGTTCATTGCTGTGGTTCAAAGATTATAAAATGTTAAAGCTTGATGAAATAATATACTCATTTGATCCCTTCACATTGTGATGGAAAGTTACATTACAAAACAGATTGACACAAATTATGCAAAAATGTATGAAAGGTGAAATCTCACAATATTTATCACAATACTGAGATGCAGTTCCAGTGTATCATGATACATAGCGGATGATTAATGTTTTGTAGCTGAATATGGAATTTATTTCACTAGTGGGATAGGATTTTTTTTTATATTTTCACAAGTGTCTTTGAAAACACAAATGAAAATCTATTTTTAAAAAAAAATCCTGTCTCATGATTGAAATAAATTCCATATACAACTACAAAACATTGAATTTTCTGTTGTTACATTTTCTTTGATTTTCCCTTTACCTTTATTCATTAATTGTTTGTATTTTCGTAACACAGTGTGAATAGGCTGTGTCATCATGTATGTGTGGTTGAGATGTCATAGCAAATAAGAGATTGAAAACAAATAAAATGGATTTCAACAACATATTTGGAGAAACTTTGGAAATCTCTATCAGCAAAGGTGGATACAGGGCCAGCCCCCCCCCCCCCCCCTTTTGAATTTTTTGTATGTAGAACTTTTATGTCCATTATCCTAAAATCAAGGAAAAAACATCTCTTATTTGTAAGAATTCATCAGCTTCCAGGCCCCCACCAGGGCTTTGCCCTAGACCCACTGGGGGTCAATGCAGTCCCCCATACCCCCTGCCTTCTACTGTTATGCAATTCCTGGATCCGCCACTGATCAGGATGGTTTATTTATCTTATAACAGGTCCAGGACTAAAAATAATTACTTTTTTTTTCACTGGCCACTCAGGCTATCGCTTAAATTTTTACTGGTCAATTTTTTAACTCAGCAGTCTAGTACTTTCACTGTCACATTGGGCCAGTAAATTTTAAAAAGACTGGCCCAAAACCATAATAATAGAAATAAATTGTTTATATTGTGTTACTTCTTAGTAAAATGGAACAAAACAGCAGAACTTGGATGCACAACCCTGTCAAGTTAACTATCCCAACACCATGAATGCATGAATTTTGTTATGCATATATGCACATGCTAAATAGCATATACTTACCTCTTAAATGTCAAAAATATGCTGTATATCGGCACTATGAACTGTTGTAAGTGTATCAAAAGTAGTCAACTTGTCAGCATGTGTAGATAGTAAAGAACGTTATGTGTATCCTGGTGATAATTTTTATTTATTCATTCTTTATTAATAGAATTGCCAAATTTAAATATACTGGAAAGAGAGGAGGTGGTGGATGGGGGAGAAGTGACTACATCTGAGGATTGGAAGGAGGGAAGGAGAGTGGTAGAACTTGGAGTGTTAGCTGAGGGCTTGCGGGGATGTTGTAAATGTGGCTTACCATTGCAACTTTCACACACAATTTCTGTACTGACACATGGTTTAGCTTCTTTGTTAAAGGTATAAACTCATAAATTTATGTCCAGTTAGTTAGAAAACAACTTTGAAAGCTTGAAAGGTTTTTTTTCATGGATTTTTCTCAATGTAAAATAGGCATTATTCCATGTCCTTATTAAAAGTTTTGAAAGGTTTTACAATATTTTTTTTTATCATATTTGAAATGATGCATATTGAAATTCTTTTTTTCCCCAGCATTTGATATTCATTAACGGTGAATGAATTTATTACAGTGACCTGTAACTGGGGATTCATTGGTTTTACATTCACATTTCAGGTCTGTTGCAGCAATACAAAGTGTAATCATATTAACCATGTAAAAACGGGGAAAAAACATGGAAAAGTGTGGGATGTAAATACAAAACTATCAGCAGGTGAGAAGTTTCACTTACACATCCCCTACATCAGATACACATATATTAATTTTTGTCAGGTCACAAGAGCCTAATTAAATTTTAGCTCATTTTTGTACGTATAGGTTTTTCCCCATTGTTCAAAGATTTCATAAGTGCCACTTGTTTTGCATGAACTTGAAAGAATTTATATATATATATATATATATAATGTTTAGTTCAGAATAAAAACTTGTTGAGAAGCCATTTTTAACTTATTGAAGCCAGAGGCTCATTTGAGCTTTCTGATCTAAGTTTTTCCATTTATCTGTCTGTCTGTTAACTTTACAAAATTATACCCCTGCTCCAAAGGAGAGGGGGGTAAACTGTTTTACCCTTGTGTTTTTAGCACACTCTTTGTTATCCCCTCGCGCAGCTAGTTGCGGAGAGGATATAGCATCGCTACTGTGCATATATGTGTGTGTTTGTGTGTGTGTTAGTGTGTCCGTTACAGCTTGTTGGCAAGATTTAAGGAGAACCTTTGAACTATCAAATCTCAGCTTCCACATACTTATGTGGGATTGTGAAAGGACAAATCCTATTCATTTTCAAGTTAATCAGTGAAATATTTCTTTAAATATTGCGTACCTTCAAGCCCTGAAATTTTATGTACGACTTGACAATACTCACTTCCTGTTAATCAAACTGGTAAATTCGGATAGCTTCGATAGACTCGCTTCAGTAAGTTCTACTATGTATTTGCATATTTATATTGTCATATTATTGTGCGTATCTTGAGACAATCTGTCTGAATTAAAAGTGTCATCTCTGACACTGAGTAATTGAAATAATTTGATGAACGTTGCAGTTTCATTATTAAATTTCCACATGTGTCTGTTTACAATATAGAATTTATCCTTATTTCTTCTGAAAGCTATAAAGACATTTCGCAAGTTTCATTGACCTCTCAACACTGACATATTGTTATTTTTCATTACGAAAAAATATTGCTTCCACAGGTATTCTCAGATTTTATGCATATTGCATAGGTAAATTACTGAAACTTAGAGCATACGTGATATGTTTCTGCTAGGAATAAGGGAAACTGCCCAATTACGTATGCATGTTATGCCCCCACCTCTCCCCACCAATATGATATGCACTTTTAATTTTTGTTAAAAATGGATCCCCCATCCCCCCCCCCAAGATAATATCAACTTTGACTTTTGTTAAAAAATTAATTAGTGTTGCAATACATTTTATGTACTTTACCTTATTGTAAACTTTATATAGTAATAGTGGGTGCCCTTGATAACTAGGTGATTGTATCTTTCTTAACATCCCTCTTGAGAATTATTCTCTCGTATGGAGACATTACCATTACTGGTGAAGTTCCTCTGTGAGGGGATGCTCCACTTAGCGGTGCTCTTGTTTTCGCATGCCATATGGTAAGATTCATTTTTATACGAATCAGATGTCTACTTCCTGTTTATCCATGCGTCTGTCCATACCAAATTTCTGTCGCAACTGAACTTGTGTATATACAGTAAAACTCAGTTATAGCAAAGTCCAAGGGACCTGTGAAATTACTTCGCTATATCCATAATTCGTTATATCTGTATTACGAATTTGTTAAAGTATATATATTGAATTTGCAATTCATTATAAAAATTCATTATAAAAGATGTAATTTTTATTATTTTTAATCTCTACGGGACACAAAATCAGTTTGCTATATCTGTAAATTCGTTATATCAGAGTTTGTTATAGCTGTAATATTTTCTTAGGATTTGTTAAGAATTTTGCTGGGGATTCCAAAAAACTTCACTATATCCGTAAATTCTCTATATCTGTGTTTCTACATGAGAACATATATTTACATCAGAGCAGGGGTATTACTAGTGAGCATTGGCTCACAGACTTCTTGTTTAGATTTGTTCTCTGAACCACTGGACTTAACAGATTTTACATAATGCAATAGTACATGGAAAAAATCTTTAAAAATTAAAAATCATCTTCTCTGTAGAAGAGCAAAGCCATATAACCGTATTAATCATATTGATATTGAATCATCCCAATGTTATGTAGATCAATTTAAGTTTGGTAGCCATTACCCCTTGGGGGTTTGAGTACAGTATGGATCTTTTTTTTTTTTATTTCCTGGGAATACAGAGAAAAATGAGACTCGGGTGAGTGTTGTGGTTCAAGAGCCTCTTGTTTTAATTAGATTGATATTTTTTTTTTCATTTTTGAATTTGTATTTACAGCAATGGTACATGTTGGCATTGGTGTAACTCAAGTTAACAGTCTCCTTTCTGAGCTGAATATACCACCTGTTAGTCATGCCATGCTAGACAATAGACAGAAAGAGATTGGCAGAGCTGTCCAAGATGTTGCTGCAGAGTCTATGTCTAATGCTTTGCAGAAGGAACTGGGAATGATGAATGAGTGTGTATACAATATAAATTCAGTTTAAAATCTCACTTTTTAGCTCAACTGAGCCAAAGGCTCAATTGAGCTTTTCTGATCAAAGGGTGTCCAGCAACCATGTGTAGTGGTCATCTGTTAACTTCTCACATTTTCGACTTCTCCACACAAACCAATTTCAACCGTACTTGCCACAAAGCATCTTTGGGTAAAGGGATTCAAGTTTGTGCAAATGAAAGGTCAGGATTCAAGTTTGTTCAAATGAAGAGTCATGTTTTCTTTAAAAGGGAGATAATTAATAATTAGAGAAAATTTAATGTTATGTTTTAAAAGTCTTCTTTAAGAACCACTTGGCCAGGAAAGAGGAAATTTATGTGAAAGCTAGCTTCATTACATAGTGTAAAAATCATGACCCCCCAGGACTAGGGTTTTTACAAAAGGTGATCAAATTTTATTCAAGAATATATAGGAAAAATGTTTTTTTTTTTTTTAAAATTAGGTTGAGACTACAATAGCAGATTAGAGTTTTATAAAGGAGTACATAAGATAGAGTTGCAAGATCACACTAAATCCTATAAATTACTAACACATATCTAAGATGTGAAGAGTAGATTCTTAAAAAAAAAATTATTAGCACTGGGGTTAGAGTTGAGCCAAAATCAGAGCAGTCAAATTTTACATAATGCATGTGTAAAGGAAAAAAAACCAGCAGGACCATGTTGATCATATTTATATTGAAGCATCCCAATGTTGTGTTGATTAAACTTTGAATAAATCATATAACTCCTTTAGTCTACATTTTGGTCCACCGCATGGAGTCAAAATATTTATAAAAAATTTAATTTTGGTTGTAACGCATTATTTGATTGGATAAAAAATTTTAGTTTTTATGGTATAACCTGTGTTGCCTACGTCACAATGACTTAATGTACGTCAAAAACGTATCAATCCGCTTGGTGTTACTTTTAAAATATGTGCAATTCGAAGGCATTTCTGAAGGAGAAATTGTCTTATTGATTTAAAAAATTAAATTATAAGGAGTGAATTTAATAGCTACATATACTGGTATAACTTGGGTTGGAACAGTTTATGACTTTTTATATACTGCTTCGCAGTTACTAGATATACTTATAAATGTTAGTTTTAGTCATCTACTGCATAATTAGTGCTGATAAATATGCAGATTGTTATGCATATTAGGGAGGTGTTCTAAAGGAGACAGGTTCACAGGCTAATAACTGATGTCTGTTATTTAACTATCTTTCAGAGAGATGAATGAAAAGGGACTAGTTGTTGCTGTAGATGCTGGATGGCAAAAACGGGGAAGTGGAAAGACATATGATAGTTTGTCAGGTAAAAATAGACAAATTTTAGGAAAATGAAACAAATATTAATGCATAGAGTGATTTATTTTGGCCTGCGTCCCCCATGAATTATGCATTAATTTTGCTCAGGACATGATTCCAATAAATATGTATGCAAACAGATGCAGTAAAGAATGGGTGGAGTTAACGCCCTTTGGATCTTTTTGCAATTCCTCTACCAAGCTGTAAATGAAGTGAATCCAAAATATATTGCAAGCAATAGAAAGAGTTACGTATACATGGTTATATTAGGTAGAACATTTGTACAAAAGCAAGGCCTTTTGCCATGAATCAAAATTGAAGCAACGATACATTAGTGTCGTCTTCCGGAATTTGGCATGTACCCGGAGTGGTTTTTAGGTCACGTAATCAAATTTATAGGAGGTGGGGCTATCGATCGGCTTCATTGTTGACATCTCTCTCTCCCTCTCTAGAAATTCGAGTATGTGTATGGCATATTGCAGCGATGTCAATATGACCCTGATTATCTATTGATTATCTATTGATATTCAAGAAATCTTCAGGCACCATGCCTTCGATATTTATTTAGTTTACCTCAAAAAGAGTGTTTTAAATCCACACCTGTACCATGAATACACGGTTAAGATATCGGGGATTTATATGATAGAAAGAAAGAAACATTTTATGAAAAAGATACATGTATCCCAAAGTTCAACTGTACATTGAAATTTTAAAATATTCTTCCAAAGAACAGCCATTAGTAGTCATGTATAGATACAAGCATGCTCAGGTAAAGCATATTCAATTTTGTTTGAACTATGGCCCCAAGGGGGTAAGATGGAGCCACAAAAAGGGATATAATTTTTACATGGGAATTTATAGGAAAAAACTCATTAAGGAAGAGCCTTAATGAGTCAAATCAATATGCAAGCACTCTCATTAGCAATATTAGGTGAATTTTATTCAGAGGAATAAAGAAAGGAAAAACTTTTGTATAGATTATCTTCTAAAGTGTGATAACCCATTGGCATTGTTTTGAAATTGGGTGTTAAATTTTTCTTTTACTTCAAAATATGTACTTTTTTAGGTCATTGTTCCATGGTTGGCCCTCTCTCTGGCAAAGTATTGTCATATTCTGTGAGGTCAAAGAATTGCAGAGTATGCAGTGTAGCTGAAACAACCAACAAGAATCCAGCAGCCCATGAGTGCTCAAAGAACTGGGAGGGAAGTTCAAAGGCCATGGAGGCAGATATGGTTATTGAGATGGTAGAAGATTTACAGAAAAGTGAAGGAATAACCATTGACGGAATCATAGGAGATGAGGATACCACCACAATAGCAAGATTAAAAACTAATGTCAATGCTAATATCAAGAAGTTGTCTGATAAAAATCATCTGAAGAAACTGTTTACAAACTCTTTGTTTACCTTGAAGAAAGAACATTCATCTCTAACTTTGTCTGTTATAAAGTATATTCAAAAGTGCTTCAGTTACTCCATAGCACAGGGAAAAGGAAATGCTCTTCAAATCCAAGAAGACCTCTCATCAATACCATACCACATCTTTGGAGATCACGAACACTGCTCCGCACGGTGGTGCAAGTTCATCGACAACCCTAACCTGCGCTACAAGTCTCTTCCACATGGAAAACCGCTCAAAGATAGGTTCCTTCAGGATGATCTCAAAGAAGTTTTCAGTTCATATGCAAGTCATTCTGATCGTCTTTCATGTTTAGGAAGCACGCAATCAAATGAGAGTTTTAACAGAATGGTGTCTGCAAAAGCCCCAAAGACCCATCATTACAGCTCCTCTTCAAGCCTCAGATATAGAGTTGCTGCGTGTGTAGCTCAGAAAAATGAAGGTCACAGATATCTTATAAAGGTATGTTAATTTTTAGCTCAAGTGAGCTTTTCTGATCACCCGTTGTCCGTCATCCGTCTCTCCATCCATCTGTAAACTTTTCACGTTTTCAACTTCTTCTCAAGAACCACTGGGCCAATTTTAACCAAACTTGGTACAAAGCATCCTTGGGTGAAGAAGAGCTTAAATTGTTAAAATGAAGGGCCAAGTTCTCTTCAAAGGGGAGATAATCAAGAAAATACAAAAATTGGGTGGGGTCATTAAAAAATCTTCTTCTCAAGAACCACTGGGCCAGAAAAGCTGAAACTTATGTGGAAGCATCCTGGGGTAGTGTAAATTCTAAATTGTTCAAATCATGACCCCCGGGGTAGGGCAGGTCCACAATAGGGAATCCAAGTTTTACATTGAAATATATAGTAAAAATCTTTAAAAATCTTCTTCTCAAGAACCACTATGCCAGAAAGGCTGAAACTTATTTGGAAGCATTCTGGGGTAGTGTTGTTTCTAGATTGTTCAAATCATGACCCCCGGGGGTAGGGCTGGGCCACAATAGGGAATCCAAGTTTTACATTGAAATATATAGTAAAAATCTTTAAATATCTTCTTCTCAAGAACCACTGGGCCAGAAAGGCTGAAACTTATTTGGAAGCATTCTGGGGTAGTGTAGATTCTAAATTGTTGAAATCATGACACCTGGGGGGTAGGGCGGGGCCACAATAGGGAATCCAAGATTTACATTGAAATATGTAGTAAAAATCTTTAAAAATCTTCTCAAGAACCACTGGGCCAGAAAAGCTGAAACTTATGTGGAAGCATTCTGGGGTAGTGTAGATTCTAAATTGTTCAAATCATGACCCCTTGGGGTAGGGTGGGGCCACAATAAGTACTACAAAGGGGGGGGGGGGGAATCAAGTGAAAAACAGCAAGGCCAATGGTAAAAAAAGGAGCGAGTTTAGTCCCAAGTTAGAGCTTGGGGCGGGGCCAAAGTAGCCGTAGTAAAGGTGACCATCAAGGCCCATGATCCATTTGTTTTATAATGTATGTTGTTTGCATTATATATATTCCTAACAATATTTCTACTGTGTGTACTTTTGTTATGTGAGAATATTAATCTCTTAGATTTTAAAATTCTGCAAATTTTAATCAAAAGCAGATTAATGAATGTATTGCATATTTAGTTGTACATAATGGATTCTTATATCCTTATTAAAGGTGAACAAGAAATTAGGCCTCTCTCCTGGCTACTATACTCGAAGACAGTGCATTCTGAGGGATCTCCAAAGAAAACGACAGAAGGCCATTTCAATGACACAGAAATTTAAAAGGAGAAGGAGAGAATTGAAAGCCAAGAGGTACTAGTATACTTTTATTGTCATTTGTCAGAGTGCAACAAAACTCTTGTCTAACTGAAAAGTGAAAACCAACCAAGGACAAGTGGATGTCCCTGCTGATAAGTATATATTTAAAGTGAGAATTGAAAAAAACTCTTGAATCTTACTAAGATCTATTGTTTTCTGAATCACCAAAGATTTATGCTTGTTATAAATAGTGAGTCTCTTCTGGTTGCAAATTGTCATAAAAAGTTTGATATAAGTATAAAATTAATGAAGAGGACATTTTCTGGAATGAATCAACCAGTGGTTTGATAAATATTTTTTTCCAATTCATTTGGAGGTATATTTTTCGCTATATTGTTGAATATCTATTTTATATTGGAAAAGTGAGTCATATGGGACAAGCAAAATCTTCATTGAGATGAATGGTTATGCTTCATATTTATTTGCTTTGCCAAGTGGTCACTGAAATTTCTTTCACCCTGTAATGTACAAAATTGTGGTTTAGAATAGCTTGAAACGTTCTATCAGAACTGTGCAACCAGTCTTTACTAAGTAATTTTTTTTTATTGGCTGTACATCAGGTGAGTGTTTATTTTGCTAGGCCTCTTGTAAGACCTCAATTTGGAATTATTTGTTTTACAATATACAACTTCTTTACAGAATTCAAAGTCTTTCTACAAAAGAGACAAGGGAAGGCGTCAGTTATTTGACAGGATGTGATCTCCACCATGCCTCGGACATTGATGAAATTCCAGCTCCAAAAACAATTCCAAAGTATGATCATCTTCCTTCAAGTCAGTTGTTAAATGCTGAAGAGATCTATTTCGACTTGGAAACTACTGGACTCGGTAAGAACCTAAATGAGTTTTGAATGTCTAGTCAATGCTGATGGTTATGGCACTCTTCCAGTATTTCTTCTATATGGATGTCGAAGGAATAAACCCAGCATTTTGTAAACAGCAAGAAAATTTCTAATCTGTTTGTCACAAAAACCACCAAGAAGTGTTTATCACAAGATATGGGAATCACGATCAAGTAAACAATTCTATAAAAGAAGGATCTATCATGTTTTGCGGTTGAATATGATTGAATATGATATTCTATCTCCGAGCCTTAGCAGCAAAACTCCATGACAACACTTTCAGTCATAAACAATTGTGATATCACACCCATGTAATCTCAAAATTTATTTCCTGATTGATATCCACCAGATGTATGGGAAGCATATGCAAAAGGAATGTATGAAAACATGATTAATTTCGAAGATTTGAGACACTCATATGACCTTTTGTAATTGGTCCCTGTCCACTGTCTGCCATGTGGAAACTAATAAACATTTTTAACTTCCTGAAAACTATATGGCTCCCCCCCCCCCCCAATGTTTGGTATAAAGTATCTTCAGAGTAAAGAGGAATTTAAATGTTATGACTCTTGCACCTCAGAGGCCTGTGGGTGGGACAAAAACCAATGAAACTAAATGCACATAATTTATACAGAGGTAATATATGTTTTTCAAAAATTATATATTTTCTGTTGCTAATATTGAATAAAAGCAAATGCATATTTTGAAATGGCATAAAAGAAGTTTTTAAACCTCTATGATTCTGGTATTGGTAGTTGAGCATGTTTTATATCGTTCTTTCAAAACTTTACTTTTCCTAATCTGACAACACTGAATTAAAAGAAAATGCATACTCTGAAAGAGTTCAAGCATTTTCGACAGGAGTTAAGGCTTGGGGAAGAGGGGCACTAGTATTTCATTGTTTCAAAATTTTTGAAATAGTGCATATATCAATGGATTTGTTTGGATATTTTATGTTTTGAATTTCAAAAACTTGAATATACTTGTTTTTATTTTCAGCAAGGGATTCTCATATTGTGCAGTTATCTGCAGTTAGAAATGATGAGGTATTCAACAAGTACATCATTCCAAAAAAACCAATGACATCAAAAGCTACAGAAATAACTGGAATACAAGTAGTCAACAATAAAATGTACCACAATCATGAGGAAGTTGAGACAGTCAGCATTAAAGATGCTCTGATCCAGTTTATGGACTTCATGAAGATGTCGGGTCCAGATGTTGTTCTAGTTGGGCATAACTCTAAAGTGTTTGACCTTCCTGTGCTCTTCAACATTTTGAGTAAACTAAACATTTTGGAGACATTTTCATCTGCAGTCACTGGCTTCATTGATACAATTCCTCTTTTCAAAATGTCACATCCAAACCTTTCGTCATACTCGCAGTTACACCTCTTTGCAGAAATTCTACAAGACAAATACAGTGCGCATGACTCATTACAGGATGTCATAGCCTTGAAGAGATTGGTCGATCATACAGGACCCTCCCATGAAGTCAAAGTTGCTGCATCCTTCACCTTGAACTCTGCCGTTGCCGTGTTTCATCACAAGAACACAACAAAGCATCTAATGAGTACACTAAGGCCTTTATTGGACCAAAAGGTAATTTCGAATGGAATGGGAAATAAGATTGCTGGCAGTGGACTCTCCTTATCCCACTTACAACTTGCATATCAGAGAAATGGTAGGGAGGGAGTGCAGGATGTGCTGTCAGAGATAGCTGATAATAGTGTGCGTGTGACAAAATCTAAAAAAATCATTGATTCTGTTGCAGATTATTTCAGGTCTGAGCAGTAATGCAGTTATTTGTTTGTGAATGTATGATGTTCTTTGTATGTTATTGTTTGTTTGTTTGTTTTACGTCCCTTTGAGAATTTTTCACTCAAATTGGAACCCCACGAGTTGTTGATGTACTAGTAATACCCCCGCTCTGAGCACTGATGTGAATATACCCTCTGATGTGAATATACACAAGTTCAGCTATGGACAGACACAGGAATAAACAGGAAGTTGACACTGGATTCGTACAAAAATGAATCCCACCAAATGGCATGCCTAAACAAAGAGTGTGCTAAGATTTCAAACATCTCCGATGAGTAGTTGCTGAGAAAACTGTGACGAAAATTTGTTATGCATGGTATTGACAGACGCACAGATAAACAGGAAGTTGAAATTGGATTCGTACAAAATAAATCTTACTATATGGCATGCCTAAACAAAGTGAGTGTTAAAACTTCAAGTATCTGCTATAAGTGGTTGCTGAGAAAACTGCGACAAAAATTTGTTATGGACAGACAGACACACAAGGATAAAACAGTATATACTCCCTCTCCTTCGGAGCGGGGGTATAATTATGCAATGTACTGTTGTATATGAAACATGTTTCAATGTCTAGTGTTATTGGTAGTTTGTAGTTGAACAAAACATTTTCTTTCCATTCAAAATAAATCCAATTTAGAAACTGAATTGACAATGATTTATTGACCATACATGAGAATCTAAATTCTGTTCATTGATATTTATTGAAGAAAGCTATGTGCATAAATTGAAATATGCACAAATGAATATGAAAGGACATACTGCAAATGTATATTGTGCATGCACTATACTTGGTGGTGATTAATTTTTCAACAAGTCAAGCTAGGTTTGATTTTGGCACATTTCTGATTGTGTACCAATAAATATACACGTCATAAAGTTTGTGATGTTCTTGATATAGCGGAAGCAGCTTTCTGTCAAAGACGATAAAAAACCTTAATGTTTACAGTATACAGCAGTGCCATTAAATTTTTGTATGTTACATGTACCGGTAACAATTTGAAATACCGATAACTATCACAATGTCTGTAAACTTTTCACATTTTTGATTTCTTCTCAAGAACCACTGGACCAATTTCAACCAAACTTGCCACAAAGCATCCTTGGGGTAAGGGGATTTAAGTTTGTTCACAGGAGTGCCACGCCCTCTTTCAAGGGAAGATAATTAAGAATTTGGTAGCATCTTTAAAAAAATTTCTCAAGAACCACTGGGCAAGAGAAGATGAAACTTGTGTGAAAGCATCATTACATACTGTAGATTTAAGTTTTGTTAATCTGGGAAGTTTATATACTGTGAGACCAGCTTTGTAATATGAAAGATTAAAACCCAAAGAAGTAGAGTTTTCAGAATTTTTCCAAGAATGAAATTTAATAATCTGTATCCGGTCTTCTTGCAAATAAATATTCTGTCTTGAGAGGGCACGAAAATAATCTGACTCGATACCCCCCCCCCCTTTCCCCCTCAATATCAAATATAGTCGTTCACTAATATATTTTAATGTCCTTTTTTTAAGAGAAAGAATGAGTTTTAATACAATCATACATTCATGCAAATGGAAAATTCATCAAAAATAACAGGCTAAATAATGTAGGAAGCAAATATAATCAATCCGAATTTCCTCTGTTCAAAATTTGAGGAAAATTCGGTCAGAGGAAATTCAAATGAAAATATCTTTTAAAGTAACTCATGTAGATATACAATATTTTACATTGTTTGAAAGCACTACAACTAAGAAATAATTAACTAGAAAAAAATTAACTTTTTAATTATTTCTAATTCATTTTCCAAGCTTATTTTACAAGCCCCCAAAAGGAAAAATAAGCGAATTTTTGCACAGGGGTGTGTGCATTTTTTTAAAGAATTAATTTTATCTTCGGTTGATTACCATCATTATTTCATCAATATTTATTTTCCTTATGACTACTTTTAAAAGATAACAAAAAGTCAAAATGATTTGAAAATATTTTTTAGGTTAAAGGGAATATTAAATACGTTGGACGCATTTTTGGTCTTTTTCTTTACTAAAATGAGAGATTTACCTCCCTTTGGCATAAACGCCTATAGCTTGTAAACCAAATCATATACATATGCATTTTTTTGGCTTAAAATAATTAATTATGTTTATTCTTACAATTAAAAAAGAAAAATTAAATTTTTAATTATTTTTGTTGTCAGAAGCCAAACACCTTAAAAAAATTTGTTTGAAAATTCTTGATATGATTCTGAGAATGTTTGGAAAGATACGCATGTAAGTATCTGCAGAGTACATCATATAAAATCAATTATGGTTGATTAAATGTACCACACAAATGCTACTTCCAAGGCAAGTGTTGTCTCAAATGCTTGCAGCTCGGCTATTGTGTGTTTTTACCCAATATGAAGCAGCAAATATGAAGAAAAAGTTTTAAGGCCAACAGGAAATCATCAGTTGAAGATTAACGGTGGGATTGATTGGATGTATGTTGTTTTACGTCCCGTTCGAGAATTTTTCACTCACAAAGAGACTTCACAATATACCGGTGATGGGCTTCAAATTTAGACCTTTACTCGGCACTCGGGGCCATTGAGCAGTGAGGGATTTTAATCGTGCCAACGCCTGCCTTGCCACGGGGCCTCGGTTTTTAAGGTCTCATCCGAAGGACTCGCAACTTTCACTTCAAAGTGCCGAGTGTTTGGCGAAGGAACAATTGCTTCCTTTTTTTATCGACTTGCATGTACATATTTCTGTGATTTAACTCCCCCCCCCCCCTCCCCCAACACATTTCTTTTAAAACATGTTATGAAATCTAACAATATTGCCAGCAAATGGTTTGGTGGTGTTCCTTTTATAGCTGAAAGAGTTATAGAGTTCAACTTTGAAGCAGATGAGAAAGTATTGTTTTTGACCTTGAAAACTGAGAGACAGAATCTGTTTTAATGGGTAATAGAAAATCATTTGCTGCCATATAATATAGTTACTAGAATTGGCATTCATTTGTTTTTCTGCCTATAAGGAGATCTCTGCCAACATTCAACAGATGTTTAGAAAGAGATGAAAAGAATAGAACACTTGACTAATTTCATTGATTGTGATTAATGATGAGGAATATAGACAAACGATTCCGTTTAATTGATTTTGTTGGGAATGATGGGCATAAATTCTACACCGAATTCGTATTTCAATCTGAATTCGGAAATATGATTATAATTGGTAAGGTACATTCATTTTTAAGATTTATTTATCAAATTCCAGAACAGAAGTTTAGCCTAGAAATGCAAATACATCATTGTCTTTTTGTAAGACTCTTCCTTTTTTTCATGAACACTCTCCTGAAACAGTTAATAACCCCTCCTTCTCGACGTTCTGATCTGATCTGAAAATTCCTCTGAAAGCTAAAAGCCCAAACTCCCTGCTTTTTATTCATATTGAATAGCTCTAAATTTTGGATACTTCATTAATAATAACACAACGGTATACGCTTGTCTTTCCTCGGGGAGTAGAGACCTTTTTTGTACTCGTTTTGGCATAAAATGTTACATTAAGAAAAAACCATCATATCTCAAAGTCATGTCCATTTACACAATACAAATTATGAGCAGAGCCAACCCAGACGTCAGGAAACATACGTGGGATCAGGTGCCGTGGATGAGTAAGGATTCCCAGGAGACCGGTCAGCCCATTGTGTTAAATCAAATTTGTATAAAATCAACATTCGACTTGACGCTGATTATATTTGCATATGAATCATGCTAAGAGATTTATTACCCTGTCTGAGGTGGTTGAACTTCAAAAACAAGAGAGATAATACTGAATTTACAGTTTATTAAAACTTCTTTGAAAGCGTCATTTATTTTGTTATTTTTTTACACGGGCAACAGTACATAGACATTTTAAATTAAATTGCTTTTAAAAGGCAAACGTCTTATTTACTCCTCCATGGCCCTTGGTCCCACCTCTTAAGTGTTTGGAGGTCCGTGTTTGCTTTGCTCCCGATTTGTATTGCTTTAATGGACTTTGAGCTTGAACACTGTTCGTTATCTCCATATTTTATTATACTAGATGTCTTATGTATTTATTTATGCCCCTTTATACTATATTTTATATACGGTCGTGTAGAGCGAAGACCTGTTGCTGCCGGACTACACCAATCTTTTCAAACTTATATTGTACATTGTAGTCTTTTGGCTTGAAATTTAAGTGTTTTTACTAAACTTTATTTTGACATTAAAACTAGTGGCAAATGAATGTCGAGAAATCGCTCCTTAATACTGTAAATCACTCTTAATTCAGAAAAAAAACATTAATTTATTTTCACATAAAACCGCGAGACTATCTGCTCCTTCTCGCATATAATTTTATAATAAAAAAAAAATCATATACAACAATCGCTAAACTTCGCGAATTTTTTTAACACTAATGAATGCTGAAAAACTTTCCCGCACTCTGTCACGAAAATTATAGGTGATCTTCAATAACATAATAATACATGAAGTATTAATACTGATATGTATGCAATAACTTTGTTCATTAATTTAAAATTCAATAATATACAGTCTTGCCGCTATTAATTAATTATTTATTTTGAAAATATCAAATCATTTCAAAACACTACTCCTGGAATGTTTGTTTCAAGTTGAATTAAATGGCATGAGTGGAAACATTTTAGAAAATTTTTGCTATTATTATTATTTTCAAATTGATTATGAATACTTTGTTAAAGGCATAAGAAATATGGCGTATACGCGAGGAAAATCCCCGACTCTGAGACGATTTTTTTTAATTTTCATACTTCATGGAAGTAGTTCAATTTTCAAAGAGTATGTTATCAGTAATGTCATCTTCAACAAATTTGACTTAATATATTGATTGATAATTTGTTTTGTTTTAGTTGTTTGTTTGTTGTTTTTTTAATTGTTTGTTTTTTTCTGTTCACAGTTAAATATACAGTGCAGGAAACTAATTTTGTTACAGCATCGATGCTGATTTGAATGCTTCCTT